AAGAGCGCCATCATGAGGCTGCTCTTGCCTGCGCCGGTGCGGCCCACGATGCCAATCTTCTCACCCCCCGCGACCTCGAACGAGACGTGCTTGAGCACGAGCGGGTCGTTAGGCTTGTAGCGGAAGCTGACGTTGTCAAAGGTGACGACACCGGTCGTGGGCCAGTTGGCGGTGGCGACAGAGGTGACGCGGGCGCCCTCGGACTCGATCGCAATGTACTCTTGGATGCGCTCGGGTGCGATCATGGACGTCTCGAGCTGGGACCAGAGGCCGACAAGCAAGGCCAGCGTGCCCGGAATCGAGAGACCGTATGTGATCAAGAGGCCGACGATCCCGGGGCTCACCGACTCGTGGAGGAAGACGAGCGCCAGCAAAATGAGCGCGACAATCGTGCTACCGAGAAGCGACATACGCAGCGAGAACCACACGGTGATGGCGGTGATGGCCACGCGGGCTTCAGAATACGTCTCGATCTTTTGCGTGTTGAGCCGGTAGAAGCGGCGGAGCTGCTTGTCGCCAAATGCGCGGATCGTCGTCGAGCCGTCAATGCCTTCCGAGACGGAGCTGATAAGCGGCGACCGCGTCGTTTTGAAAATGCGACCAACTTCACGCAGCGGCTCCAAGAAGAACGCACCGAGAGTGATGTAAATGTAAAGAAGCGGCAGCACGAGGATCCCGAGCCAGCGCATGAGCACGATCGTCGTGCCGAGCGCCGCGAGCGTCGACGAGACTTCAAACAGCATCGGGCCGAGCGAGAGCGGGATGCCAAAGTCTACTGCCATGATGTCGTCACCAAACCGGTTGAGGACGCGCCCGATCGGGTTGGTGTCGAAAAAGCGCATCGGCGCCTCCAAGAGACTGCGCAACATGCCGTCAAACATGCGCTGGGACCCGACGAGGCCGAGCTCCACGACGAGATACGTCTGCGCTGCCACCATGAGGCAGCTCCCGATGGCGAGGCCCGCGTAAATGTCCATGTTGCTGTCGACGGTCATGGTGGCGTTGGCTCCCTGCTGGACGTTGTTGGACCAATACGTGAGCCAAAAGTCACTGCCGACCTTGAGCACTTGCGTCAACAGCGTCAAGACGATGATCGCAGCGACCGCGGGGGCGCCGCCAATGCTTTGAACGTAGCCGTAGATGACTTCCTTGGAGACACGCCCTTCAGCCCGCTCTTCGTCGGCGATGAGACGACCCGACTCTTCAAATGACTCTCCCGCAGCCGGCTCGCGCGGCGTGTACAGCATCTCGCGCGCGTTGTAGCTGTACGGCGTGCGCAGCGACGGCGTCACCAGCATCTCGTGGCGCGGCCCCGGCGCCGGGTACTCGATGATCTCCGACTCTTCCCAGTACGGCGTCCGGGCCTTGAGCGGCGTCACCGCCGACGTTGCTTCTTGACGCGTGCGCGGCGAGTCATGCGTTGACTCGATGAGCCGGCCGTCTTGCACCAGCAGCGTCCGGGCGACCGCCGCCGACTCGATGATCTCGGGGTTGTGCGTCACGAGCAGCACTGTCTTCTTGGCCAAGAGGCCGAGGAAACACTTGGTGAAGATCTCGCTGGCCACGATCGCGTCGACGGCCGACAAGGGCGAGTCCAAAATGAAGATGTCGGCGTCGCTGTAGCAAGCTCGGGCCAAAGCGATGCGCGCTTTCTGGCCGCCGCTGAGGTTGATGCCCTTCTGGCCAATCTCGGTGCGGTCGCCGGCCGGCAGCGACGCGAGATCGCTCTGCAGCGCACACGCGTCGAGGACCTTTTGGTACGTGCTGCGGTCGTACGGCTTGCCAAAGAGAATGTTTTCGCGGATCGTGGTGTTTTGGATCCAAGCCTGCTGCGCAAAGTAGGCCACTTGGCCGCCGACAAACACCGAGCCAGTGAGCTTTTGCATCTCGCCGAGGAGCGCCGAGCAGAGCGACGACTTGCCTTGGCCGACCGCGCCATGCAGCACGACGAGCTCGCCGCGCGTGATGCGGAGATTGACGTTCGTGAACGTGGGCGTCGTGGTGCTGTCCCACGTGAACGAGGCATTGTCGATGGCGAGCACGACCTGGTCCTTGGCGTAGACGGACGCGATCGGGTCGGACGGCGTCGAGACGTTGGTCGGGTCCACTTCGTCCATCAAGAGCACGTCGTTGATGCGCTTGGCCGAAACAAGCGACTGGACCATGGCCAAAATCACCATCGGGAGGTTCACAAGCGCATCTTGGAGCGACTTGAAGAGCGCGAGCGTCGAAAAGACGATCGTGACCGTCAGTGCTTGCTGCATCCAGAGCGTGAACGTCGCGAAGACGACGACGGTGACGAGCACGGGGGTGCAGTTCATGAACGAGATGAGGACAACGATGATGCGCATGAGCTTCTTGGTCGATTCAAACTCGATGACGCGGAGGTTGCGGATCTTGGCGAGGAACTTTTCTTCCCACGCGTTGAACTTGATGATCTGAATCGCGCCAAAGATCTCGTTGATGACCTTCATGCGGTCGTCCTTGAGCTTGAAACAGCGTTCTTGCTCGCTAGCCATGAGGCAGGCGAAGATGCCGTTGATGACCAGGATGAGAACGACGGCGCCGAGGCCGACAAAGATGGCCCAGCCCACGATCGTGTAGAGGAGATGGAGGACAATTGCGATTTGAAGCGGTACGATCCACATCGAGTGGATGCTTGTCGCAAAGCTCATGACGTTGTAGGTGTCGATCAAAAAGAGGTTGGCAATATCACCGGCGGTCTTCTCCTTCTTGGACGCGGCGTCCAAGCGCAGAGCCTTCTTGAAGAGCATCGAGCGCAGCGCTGAAGAGAACTGGATGCCAATGACGTCGTTGAGGTACGTCAAATGACCCTTGACGAACGCGGCCGTCACTTGAACCAGGTAGAGCGACCCAATGAGCTGGAGTACGTACGTCGTGTCAAGAACGGGCGCCTCGACAGCGCGAATGATCTTGCCGAGGACGTAGCCAGGACC